ACGGCTATCTGTTTTGTACAATATAGTGATGAAGGTCTCTAGATGTGTCCAATGGCTTTGCTTCAGACTTTAAGTCGAGATTTCTTCTTTTGCATCTCTTATTTTGAAATTTACTATGCGATAAGATGCTAATCACTCCATATATATTTTTTTAATTTGAATATTGCTACTTGTGCTCAATATTATAGATGACTGTTTCAAATTAAGCAAGTCTAAAATTTAAAGATAGAACCTATAGCAGATATTGAAAACCTAATAATAGTTGTTGTATGACTACTTAGTTGCTCTCTATAGGTTCTTCGGTTATAGCTGCTTATATTTCCTTATATTTCCAGGATAAGTACTTGTTAAACAATGTATTTCAAATTATATTACGTGATTAAATGTCTTTGTTTAAAGAGCATTGTCCAAGTCATTTATTTAAATGCATGTATTTCAAATTATATTACGTGATTAAATGTCTTTGTTTAAAGAGCGTTGTCCAAGTCATTTATTTAAATGCAGTGTTTATCCCTATTATTCAAGAGATATAGTTTTATATAAGGAAATGATCATTTATATGCAAGATTTGATTCTTTAAAAATCTACTGGTTTATTTGAGAATACATATTTCATTTATCTGTTAATTGCAATTATCTTCATTTATTCATGTACTGAAAATAATAAATCACTTACAACTTTTATTTTGGTAGAATGGTTTTTCTTATTTTCTATGTGGGGTAGCCTTAATGCCTTGCTATCTTGATGACTTTTAGTTATGCGGGTGTTTATGTTGATGGAATATTTTTTCTAAAGTTCTAGCTTCAATGTTTGGAACTATTTAATTCACAATTCTTCCACTTCAAAACTTCAAAGGATAGTAAGTAATCAAAACTTTTATAGTATTTTCTATTCCCTGCCATTTTCATAAGTCTTTCACATGCATATTTTTGGGTTTGTTTTTGTTATGTAACTTCATTTTTTCAGTTGCAATGTTATAAAGGTCATCGGGTCACTATTTTTAGTACATTTAAACTCATTTGAACAATGACATGCAGATTAATGGCATATGTTTTATTAATTATAATTGGTAATAGGGCTTCTATTTGGCATCACTTCCATATATTCTACTGCACATAGGTTGTACATACGTTAACTGGAGAATATCAAGTATTACATAATTTTTTTGAAATGAGCATGAAACAAATATATACCTCTACTCTGATTCAGAAGGTGCACAGTGTACTATTTAAGCCTCACGATAAAATTGTGTAATTAGCTATTAGCCATACCGTCAATTCTTAATAATGAGACTTGTGCCACACTTAACAAATATACAGTAAACAGTATAGGAACTCGGTACATTAATTTTAGACCATGAGCTTCATCTTTAAAACAATATTTTCTGTATGTGAATGGAAACGCCTTCTTTCGTCGCGTTTTTTCTCCAACAAGACATACTAACATGCTGTTTTTTCGTTCTACATGGACTTTATTTAGCAGAATACTTTGTGTCTTTATCTCATTGCCGGTTGTGCCTCTTTCACACACACTTCAGCAACTTGAAACTTTAAAACCAAGTAACTAATCAACATATTTAAGTCAGTTCGATTTTTTCTTATTTTGAATGAATACATTTTGCGTGCACATACTTTCCCATTTAAGTTATCTTTTGCTTCATAATTTATCCTTTTCTTCTAAGTACCGTCAGGTGGTTTTGTGTTGAATTTGACTTCCGTATCGCTTTTGTGTAATATTTGTTTGCCATTGGTGCTATCAAGATATCTTGTGTTGACCAACAGACCAAGTGAGGATGGTGTTGGCAGGGAAGTACGAATTTAGAATCAATTCATGTCATAAAGAAGTCTGGTGGTTCATTGAAAGACTCATTTTGGGCGAAGGGTGACCATCTATAATACCTAGCTATTGTTGTATATCATAATCCATCCTTTTTTTTTTTTTGGGTTAAATGAATTTTAATTGTTTAGTGTTTATTGGAATATTTTTTTGCGATTATTGTAGTCTTCAATTCTCTCCAGATCACGTTCTATGTTAAAAGTACTTAGCATAACAAATGTATATTAAATGGATTGGTCACTACATTTTGGAGATCTATGTTAAAAGTCTTTAACAAAACAAATATATATTTAATGAATTGGGGACTACATTTTAGAATTTAAAGCATTTTGAATTTTGGTCTTCACAGTTCAAGTAAATATGTTTGTCTAGATTTCTTCTTGAAAGAATCTACTTTTTTTGTGGATTGTTGCCATTTGATTTTAGAATAGCGTGAAAAGATTACATAAATACTGATTTATCCATAAAATATTTTATATAGCTTAATAAAACATATTTTTTTACTCATTTACTATATAAATCACAATACAATAATAAAAACATTAATATCATATTACTACAATGGGCTGGTTGTGCTAGATGTTCACGTATGAATTATCTATAAAATATTTTCTATGACTTAATATAACACATTCTTTTTTACTCATTTACTATATAAATCACAATACAATCATAAAAACATTAATAACATATTACTACAGTGGGCCGGCTGTGCTACTAGTATATATATTTATATTGAATAACCTAATTGTTAAAGCTTATCACAATATTGATAAAATAAATGTATACCTTTTTTACAATATAGTTTTCTGTAATGCCAAGAACAAAGAATAACTATTATGTCTTTTATATAAGATATTGTTACATCTGAGCATGTAAAACAATCTGCATATTGGAAAAAATATTTTAATAATTTATAATAGTACAAATTTCGGACGTAAGGAAATCTATAATTGACGTTTTATAACAGTATAATTGATACGATCCGTGAATAAACCACGTGCCAAATGGAAAAACTCATTTTATAATTTGGTTAAGAATCTTAAAAAAGTTGAACATATCTTAATTTTCTAAAGTTATTTAAGATTTAGAAAAATAATGTATCATTGACCGTGATTTTTCCTATATTCTTTAATAAGAGATTTTGATGCGCGATATTTCCTTTGTTCTCTAATAAGAGATTTTGATGCCCATATATAGCTAACTATCCTATATTCTCTCTTTTAAAGAAGCGGACTTCCATTGATAAAACAAATATTCATTTTAATTCAAAATATTGTATTCTAATTTAGTTGTTAAAAGGATAACTGAATGATACTGCTTATCAAATTATATCATTAATAAAAAAGGTTGGATATTTGATTAGTTTTTGGAGAAAAAAAAAATAAATAAAACAAAATTAAAAAAAATATTAATTAGTAGTAATATATTATTTACGAATTTGAATTTAAATCATTTACCAAGATTTTTATGATTCTCATAATCTACACTGTACAAAAATCTACGCACTAATTAAAATACAAATAATACAGACACGTGAGTATTGGGATTGTAAAGAATCCTAACAAATGCGTAAATAAATGATGATAGAAGAAATATTTATTTAAATTCCTATATATAGATTATGATTGTTCGAATCCACATAATCCAAAATACTAATGATTGTTAAAAAATATATATCTACATTAATTTGTAATGATTGTTAAAAATATATATCTACATTAATTTGTAACGAATCGGATATACATGTTAACTAAAATACTAATACTAATGGTAAGCACAATAAAATTTTGGAATGACGCGTGATCACACGGATATCCATTTTAATTCAAAATATTGTATTCTAATTTAGTTGTTACGAGGATAAATGCTGCTTATCAAATTGTATTATTAATTAAAAAAGGTTGGATATTCGATTAACTTTTGGCGAAAAAAATAAATAAAAAAAATTAAACAAATATTAATTAGTAAGTAATACATTCTTTACGAATTTGAATTTAAATTATTTACTAAGGTTTTTGTGATTCTCATAATTCACACTATACAAAAATCTACTCATTAATTAAAATCCAAAAAATACAGACATGAGTGTTAGGGATTGTAAAGAATTCTAACAAATGCATAAATAAGTGATGATAAAAGAAAATATTTATTTAATATCTAACAAATGCATAAATAAGTGATGATAAAAGAAAATAATTATTTAAATTACTATATATTATGATTGTTAGAATCCACACTATCCAAAATATTAACGTTTGTTAAAAAATCTATATATATATATATATAAATATTTGATTATTTTTTAAAATAATAACTATTTCCCTAAAAATATTTATTTACTATTTCGGAAAATTAATTTAACAATTTATAGTATATTTCAAATAATCACTTATGAAAATTGCGGCTCATTATTTAAGGAAATAATTAAGCCATAAAAAATATCATTTTTAAGATACCTTAATTACTCAAATCATGTGAATTTGGCTGATTTACTCAAATATGGGATTTTGGCTGTAATATCAATTATGTGATTTGCTAAAAAAATTCCAACTAAGTTGTGTAATTTATTATTTAATAAGTATTTTATATTTTTTCGTGTAATTCTTTTGTGAAATGCGTTTTTAATACACCTTAATTACGCAAATATGTAAATCCGACTTATTTATTCAATCTGCAAATAATTACTACAATTATGAAAATATCGACAACAATAATCAATTATGAAATTTGCAAAAAACTGTTTTAAAAAAAATTATGTTAATGATAGTTTTTATTTAAATATTATTCAATAAATGTTATTATTTTTTGTGGAGAAATGCTATTGGTACATAATATTGTACATAGGGGTGTACATATATTTATGTTGTAATATACAGAGTTAAGAGCAAAGAAGTTTGAAAATTCTATGTTGCGATAATGAGAATATTGTAAATAATATTGTAAATCGAACTAATAATGTTGTATATCGAGAAATTTTTCAAAATTTGAAATAATATTATGACGTCTATTTTTATTTTATTATTTATTTACTATTTCTTGAAAATTGTTGGGTAAATTATTATAGTTCTACCTTTTGTGAAATATAATTTCTTTTAATCATCCGTGTAGTACAGGTGTGTTTTACTAGTTAATAAAGGAGAATATGTACGGATTCTAAACAAGTGAATATCACACCCAATCCATCAAAAGAAGCGGCCCAAATACACACTCATTCTCGGGTTTTTAGATGGGCCTGCTCAGCCCATATTTACAATCACAATTAGCAAGGCCAGGATTATCATCGCTCTGCGCACAGGGGGCAGAGAGAGTGAGACATGGATGAGGAAGAGCACGAGGTGTACGGCGGTGAGATACCCGACGAGGGCGAAATGGAAGCCGATGCCGATGTTGATATGCCGGCGGCCGAGGATGACGCCGCCGCCAAGGTTACAATTCGCCGGATCTTATGATTTAGCTAAAATATGCAATTGAATTAATAGTTGTATGCATATGTGTATTTGTTCATTGGATCTGCAATCATCAGGAACTGGATGAGATGAAGAAGCGATTGAAGGAGATGGAAGAAGAAGCCGCTGCGCTTCGTGAAATGCAGGCCAAAGTTGAGAAGGAGATGGGTGCTGTTCAAGGTCTTTCTTGTTTCAATTGTGGTTCTGTTTCAAAGATTTTATTGTTTCAATTGGATCGTTCATATATATCTGTTTTTGAGTAACTACATTAATTACAAGTTTAGCTATATAAGTTTACTTGGACTATTACTGTTTTCAGTTAAAATTCGCGTTGAACTGAGCTTGTACTTGGTGAAAAGATGTTGGCTGAATTGATCTTTTTTTTTGGGTCTCGTCTAGAGAATATACATATTTGTATGCTAGTTCATATGGTTGATGATTTAAATTTTATCTAAAAGTGTAACTATGACCTATGGGATTTTAGAAAGAAGGTGTATATTGAAGTAAAGGAAATCCTTTTATTTTTATCATTTGAAATATTCATAAATTAGTTTCTCCAAAGTTGTTTTCTTGATTATCTCCTTGCAATCATTATTAAAAGCTGTGAACAGATCAGCCCGTTGAACTCACAGGACGTTGCATATGTAGAATAATCTAGGTGAAGCACACGTGAACAGTGAAGTTCTGGCTTTGCTTATTCCTGCAAGATGTGTGAAACTATCTGAGAAGAAGATTGTTAGTTGATAATGCAGTTAGCATGATATTTTTGTAACATGTATGGATAAAAGATGGTAATTTGTAAATATATAAAGATACAAAATGACGAATGAGTGGTCATAATCTGGGATGAATCCGTTCTTATCCTCGTAAAAACAATGTGGTTCTCTGACTGTAGATGAAGGCAATTGTGGGGATAAGACTGCTTACATGGATAAATAGGTACAGGGCAAGTCATGCTTGAAGCATGGTTACTAGGGTTCTGTAATATCCGAAATAAATAAAAAGAGTGCATTTTGTTCTGTTGTTCATCTTTTGGCATGATCTGTGTACTTCTCCTGTTGCTCTTTGAATAACATTGTCATACACGAACAAAATTCACTTTGCATACTGATTCAAATTCATATACTTTCCTCTTTTGCTATGTAGATCCTGCTAGTGCTGCTGCTCAGGCAAGCAAGGAGGAAGTAGATTCAAGATCAGTCTTTGTTGGGAATGTGAGTACCAAGTGCTAAACTTTATTTAATCAGTCTAAAGCCTCTGGGTTAATATGCTTGGGCTTAAACTCATCTTTTTCATTTGTCACATTGTATCTTGTAGGAAATTTCTGTTTACTTTTGTTATTTTTCCCTTACGATAACTATCTTTTGTTGGAGTGATTAGCATGGTGGCATGCAAAGGCTCATCATAAGTTATTGTGTCGTTATATGCCACTTGGCTAATATTGGCCTCGTGTCTTGATACTGTCCATAATGTTCGAAGTGATATTTGAGTATTTGCTTTCCATGCACAGGCATTGGACTTGCCCATTTGACAAAATCAACTACCTAATAAATATTGATTTCTTGCCACTAGAATTTTATGCAAGGCTGTCGCTACTTTCTTCTTTGGCCTGTCTAGAGTCCATTTTACTAAGGCTGATTCTTGCTTAAATGATTTTCATTGAAAATAGATTTTAACAAAATTGTTATGCTATCTTTCTATGGATATTCTTCAAGTATTCATCGGTAGTTAGTATCTCAAAATATCGCTGCTTTAAATCTTTGCCAATTCCGACTACGGTTTGTCCAGGACTCTAGGTGCAAAGGTACCTCTTGGATGCTATGTATTTCTTTTGGTTTGATATTGCCTAATCCTAATCCGACTAGATCTAGCATAGTCTTGTCTAAGCCCCAATTAGGTGCTTAGACAAAGTTGTAAATAACGAAGAAAAAGGCATAACCGACTTATTATGTTCTGTCCCACTTCTTATTCTCAAATACATCTAACCCTGCTTATGAATTTTCTACACATACCTGCTTTTTCAAGATTGACGATCATATCTATTGAGAGAATGGCTTTTGAGCTATAGCTACTTGGATTTGTAACTGTGGTCATTCTTTTATTTATTTTTTTT